GCCCACACACACACACACACACACACACACACACACACACACGTGCACACAACAAAGAGAGAGAGAGAGAGAGTGTTAGATGGTATTCCTTTATCAAGAAGCCATGAGAGTAGAAAATGCATTCATCAATGGCTGTAGTCTGTGAGAGCGAACGTACTGCTTTTTCAACTTCAGGACACGCATTGCCCGATTTTGAATAGCCAATTTTGCTTGTGGAGATTTTGCTGAAGCAAGCTGTTTCTTGAAAACAAGGAGTTCTGCATCCAGCTTTTTTATCTTCTCAGTCAGCACATCTCCACGTTTGTTGATCTGATCACCCCCCCCATGACAAGCAAGTGAAAAGGAGGGAAAAAAAACAAGGTAGCACACAACAAGCACAGAGACAATCGTTAGAAGATTGCTTTTCGGTTTTACTCTCTAACGGAAATGCCCAAAAACTTGCAAGTTCCAAGGCTCATCTGTTTTCATACTGTGTTGTTTCTTGTAACAAATCCGGGCTCTTTTCTTTTTTCGAGTGTTGCCTGCCAGGGAGAGGGAGAGGGGGGGGGGAGGGTAGGTATAAATCGGTTTTACAGGAGCTGAAGGGGGTCTAAAGGGGGGTGCCTTTGTCTGATTGTGTTATTTTCTTTTGTATCGTCGATTCCGTGAGGATTTCTGATCTGACCCTCAGCCAGAAGTCGTATGCATTGCGATTCTACACAACTTTTTTTTCCTCCCGGAATTTTCAATTTTTACCGTTTTTTTTTTTTTTTTTTTTTTTTTTTTGCACTAAGGCCAGTGTTGCATACCCCGACGGTCGGTGGCCCTTGACTGGTCGAATGCCGACCAGCCGACCGGTTGGCTGGTTGGCACTTGCCGGTCGGGGGTCATCGGCATCCCGCCAAAAAAAAAAAAAAAGGCATCAGAAGTTCAGAACCCCTAATAACCCCACCAACGCCCCCATACCCTCCCCCAATACCACCATACACCCCCCAATACCACCATACACCCCCCCATCACCCCAAACCGCCCCCCAACACCCTCATACCCTCCCAATACCCCTATACCACCCCTATATCCCTCTGTATCCCCCTATACCCCCCCTATACTCCCCCCTCATCCCCAAAAGTTTCTCAGCGGATTTGGGCTGTACTCAGCAAACACAGTACAGCCCCCAACTCAGATTTGGGAAAAAAATAAGTGGATGGCTGTTTTCTGACTGGTCGGCAGACCGCCGACCGGTCGGCCCTACTGGTCGGCTGCAATACGGTCGGCGGTGGGGGTAGGTGGTCAGCGGGTATGCAACCCTGGCTAGGGCTGCCCAGAACCCTGCCCAGGGGTCATGCCCAGACAGCCTACGGTTAAAAAACGAAAAACTTTTTTTTTTCTCTTTTAAATTTTAATTTTTTTTGTCAAAAGGGCCCCTTCCTGAGCGCTTTGATATGTGAACGCTTAGTCATCCGCCTATGAACTACGTTCTCTAAGACCATACTCAGACTAGCACAATGTGAAATGTATCTGACCCTAATTACGGCCCTACTTGGACGGATCTGACAGCATTTACATCCAAAAACCAAGAAAAAAAAAGTCCTACTGTGAGTATGCCCTACCGGAGTAACATTCGGGAGCAAAGCTGAAGGAGAAGAATCTGTTCACAGACAGAATCTTAACATAGAGATTACTTATGTTTTCTTTTTCTTTTTTTTTTAACAGGGCCTTATGGTCCTGGCTCCTATTCTGGGGAGCGTCCGTCCGGTTCCTTTTTTTTTTTTTTTTTTTTTTTTTCAGTCCAGGCAGGGCCTTACGGTCCTGGCTCCTTCTATTCTGGGGAGCATCAGTCCGGTTCCTATTCCACCGGCAAGTCAATATATAAAAAAGTACAACAAGTAGTTTCACTCACGCTTCCTTCCGTCTGGCCGAAGGACCCCTGGACAGCATTGATTGCTCCACCACAGTGGAGGATTAACTGCCAGCTTGCCCATCCTCTTCTCTTTCCTCTCAGACCAGCCAAATGGRTCTGCCAGATTTCATCGCTATATACTAGAAAGAGTCCCTCTATTGTGATCATCAACCCGAGCCCTTCCTGTTCCATCTGTTTTTTCTTTTCACCTAAGCGGCCATAAAACCCTGAACCCTGAACCCTGGACCCTGGACCCTCGTCCTTCTTAAATGCACCCCGGTACACCATTCCCATCCAAGGATCGCCTTCCTCATTGCTCTGGGTTTCTTTGCTTTGATCTTTTTACTTCCCTTGTTTCCCTGCGTCCGTCCGGTTCCTATTCCACCGGCAAGTCAAAATGTACATTACATCAATAAACACTCACACACGCTTCCTTCAGTCAGCCCGAAGGACCCCTGAACAGCATTGATTGCTCCACCACAGTGGAGGATTGACTGTCAGCTTGCCCAGTCCCTCTCTTTCCTCTCAGACCTGGATTCCAGATCTGCCAGATCGCGCCATTGACCCTAGAAAGAGCTCATACGTTGTCCTTGCCGACCTGTTCCCTCCCCACACACCTCCCTGCCCCTTTGGATGATCAACCGTCTAACCTTAAACCCTAAACCCTCAGCCTGTGTTCCTGTCCTCCGATCGTCAAACTTGGAACCTGGCAGGACTTCGTTTGCTTCCGGACCTCTGTGATAAAATCTTCCTTTGCAACCCCCGTTCATGCTCCAGTATTATCACCTTCTCCAATTTGTCCTCCTTTCTCCCACGTTTCCTCTTTGTCTGTACCCCCTGGGCCTCTTGAGGATTGTATTCATTCCCTTGCGGCCTAAGATGCGACTATGCCCTCCGACGTTGCCTGTTGTTGAAAGCCCCTTTCTGGAATTGAATTGTGCCATTCTTTCCAGCATACCCGGTCCTGTCTCAATTCTGCAACCTTGCCATTTACCAGCCAATTCCTGTAGAATCTCAGCCTCTCCTTCTTCCGCTGTTCTTCATCTTCTGTCCAGGCTTGTTTGATCTTCCGCCATCTGCAAAGGATCTCAGCTTGAATCATTGTTCTAGTTTCTATCCACACCTTCTCCCGTGGGTTTCCCCCCTCGATTTTCAACCTAATAATGAAAGGTTTTTCTTGAAAAAAAAAAAAGAAAGAAAAGGAAGGGAAAGCAAAAAAGGGAACTCGCTCAAACCCTGCAGCAATCACAAACAAGAGGGCAAAATTTCATGCAGATATTAGCTGGTCATTTTTTTTCAAATGTATTTTAAAACTTTTCTTTTAACTTACATTTTCTGCGGCATCATCCACTGTCACTGCCGGAGGTTTATCCTTCTTCACCCCAAAAACACGCCTCATTGTAGCTTGCTCTTCTGGACCTCAGCGCCCTTCGTTCTTGTAAATGTTCTCTCTACAATCACAGAAAACTCAGCTCTGTGTTTTCCACAGCACCAGCTCAATCTCCGCACCACCTTCTCCGTCAACCCTGCCTCCTTCTCAACCTCAGCTTCTTTTCTCCTTCATTAGGCACACCTGCTTTCCAATGACCAGAACATCCAAAGATGAAAATCACAATAAGTTCACTGCACAATGCACATCAATCACCACGTCAAAACTCCAACGTTTTACATCCAGCTGAATTGTTAAAGACATAATCAATTGCTCTGCTTCCACAGACGATTGACTTTGCGGTTTGTCACTTTTGCATACTCTCTCAGGAGTTCAGTTCATCTGGAATTCTCAGCTGGACTTCTCCTTCAGGTCCGCATTCTCGGTGATGGAGCTGGCTGATGGCCTTATTAGAGCTATGCTATGATCTCCATGTGAGGCAGGGACCGAGCATATGAGCTATCTTCACATTCAGAAGCCATGAGAAGCCAAACCGTCATTTCAAACCCTCTTCCTTCACTGGGTTTTTGTTTCTTGCTGCGAGCCTGTGACAGTATATAGCTGCTCCCCCACTTCTCCCATACCCTTTTTTTTTAAGCTTGCTGTTTGTCGATAACATCATAACACCCATCTCTTTGCAAATTTGTCACATCGGTTGTTCACTATCCGTGCCACCCATGTCTATCTCTGGGCAAAATATGTGAAATTAATTAGTTCCCCTACTTCTACTGCCCCCGCTGTGGGCTGCTGTTCATTACCGCTCCGCTCCTGACATTGATCCTACTACTTACTGATCCTGCTGCTGCTGCTGTTGCCCTGCCACTGCTGCTATTACTTCCTGGTACTGCTCCTGCTGCTGGTCCTAATACTTGCCTCCTCCTCCTCCTCCCCCTCCTCCTCCTCCCCCTCCCGCTGCTGCTGCTGTTACTTACGGCTGCTGCCATGACTGCTGCTACTTCCTGATCCTGCTACCTCTGCTCCTGCTAGTAGTGCTCACCGATCGTGCTGCTGCTGCAGTGGCTGCTACTTACTCATCCTGCTTCTGCGGCGCTGCAACTGCTACTCTTGCTGCTGCTGCTGCTGCTGCTTTTGCTTCTGCTGCTATGGAGGCTGCTGCTGCTTCTGCTAGTTGCCCATCCTGCTACTGCTGCTGCTGCTATGGCCGCTGCTCCTTGCACAAAAAAAAAAAAAAGAAAAAAAAAAGCTGCAGTTTAAAGTTTTATTATTATATAAAACCAATGACGACGGCAATTCCTCAACATCTCAACCCAGTAGTGCTGCGGCCATTACCCAGATCAGGCTTGCACTGGAAACCTGGTCCAGCATCCCATTTCCTGCGACTTGCCAAAAAGTGAAAACTGGACGAAAAGTTCGAAAACGCAAATTCACGAAAGAAACCACTGAGCTGATACAGCCCCTATACCACCCATGTGGAATCCCTATACTCTGGCCGCTACGACTAGTTCTAGTACTGCCACAACTAGCTCTAGTACTGCCACAACTAGCTCTAGTCCTGGTACAGCTCCAGCTACGGCCACAAATATTACTTCTTGCAATTGTTGTTGCTGCTCTTGTTATCGCTTCAACTGCTATCAGTATTTTGGTTCCACTGGTGGTGCTACTGCTGCCTCATCTCGTTGATGCAGCGAGTGCCGCAGCTTGTTGATGCTGGCACTTTATGCTCCTACGCATGATCTCTGTGTGCTGCTGATGGCCATTCTATCGGAATCTATCCACACAGTTAAGACGGATGGCGCAATATTTTGACAATAAGCAGGGACCATCACACAACGGAAAAGAAAAACATTCTACGTGTGACTTCTCCTGATCTGCACCTTGTTGAAAGAAGCGAGCGAAAGCCAACCAACAACTGACATGACCTGTACGATGGCTTGCAGTTGACCACTCCCGACTCCCAACGAGAAGCAAATGAAAAAGCCGTCGTCTGACAAAGAGCAGCATGTGGCCTTGAGAGACGTTGTGAACAGCGAAACCTACTGCCATGTTGAATGCAGATCCATTACCAGAATGTGCGCCCAGGCTGTCAAACACCGCTGATCAACGAACAGATCCCTTTTTTTCTGGGCCACGCAGAATTTGCATGCATGAAGCAGGTCGGGATCCCTCCCAATATCAGGTCAGACTTCCTCATAGTCTTTTTTTCTTCGTTTTTTTCTTGTTTTTTTTTTCTTTTTTCTTTTTTTTTGTCCCCAAAACACAAAGCCCCTTGTATTCTTCTGGGGGGCATCAGTCCGGTTGCTTATCATCGGCAAGCATGAGTTGAAGCAAGAGAATAACCTGCAGAAAAAGGGGGACAGCCATACCCTTGCGGTCCTAGTCACCTATTAAGAGAGGGGGGGGGGGGGGGGGGSCCAKGGCCTGCGCGGGGATACTTCTGCTGGCCGGGAAGCTTCCTAGCAGCACACAATCAGGCAGCAGAGGGGTCCTGGGGGAGGCTAGGCGAGGGGCGGGGGGGGTCTCCTAGCAGCCTCACAGGCCGCTTGTCTCCCACCCGCTTCTTGGCTGCTACAGTCCACATTCAGATCCCTCTCTCTCTCTCATAACCTGTCTCCTGTTATACCAGCATACTCTAATTTTCCACCCTGCCCTTTTCGTTTCTTTTCCTTCTCGGGTTTTATCCCAAGGGTCCATGCTTATTGTCTCTGTCTGATTCCAATTTTAACAGATGCCCCAAAGCACTTCCTTCTCTTTTTTCCTTCTTCCTCTTGCTATCTATTTCCATCATCCTTTTCTGCTCCACTTCCCCGTTCTCGCTTTCCCTCTTTCCCTCTTACCTTCTTTCTTTTTCTTTCTATTTCTTCCTATCTTCCTTTCTTTCTTAAAAAAAAAAAAAAAAAAGGAGGGTAGCCCCTAACGTTATTGCATCCATCTGATTCATCCATTAGGAATTGAACCCATGAGCTGTTTATTAAGAGTCACATATGTGTACCATTCAGCCAAATTGGCTGGGTGGCATTTCTTCCTTTCTTTCTGAAAAGACTGAAAAACGTTTTCGGCCATTCCCACAGCACAACCAGTCTGGCTCACACTGCATGATATAACTTGACCACTCCTTTTTGATCAAGGCCTAGCTACAAGATGACAAGTAACGCATGCACACCCTTTTCTTGTGGATGGAATCCAACGATCTCTATGTCTATATAGCTATATAGGTTTTGAAAGCCAACACATGTAATGGAAAGATGATGCTTACCATCTGATTCTGGCGATCACAGAGTTCCCGACAGAAGACCTGGACATAGGGCTGTGTTCCACAGAGTTCCCGACAGAAGACCTGGACATAGGGCTGCGCTCCACTACTCTTGAAATGTGGAAATTGGAGCAGATTGTACATTTCTTCTCATGGGAGACCACTACACTCGCGCTTCTTACATGTAAAGGGGTCACAGCGCGAGGCCAATAGTCCAATGCTGCCTGTCTTAAAAAGCGCTCACAAACGGAATGAGAGAAGCTCAAAACTTCTCCTCCAAGCTCAATGCTTGTCACTGGAGCAGTGAGAACGCAGAGGCTCCCGAACGGAGAATGCATGCTTCAGGTTTTTACGAGTCGACACACTCACGGTAATAGCTGTTGGGGGTCCTCCGAGAAAATGCAAAGGACTGGTCGCTGCACAACTTCGACCCCACTTCTCACATTTGGTGGCAAGTAGCAGTGCGAGGCCCAGTAGTCCCAGAGGTGCCGGTCCCGGGCGCTCATGAGTGGGACGACACTCCAAGCTCGACGCTTCCCACTGGAGCTGTGAGAATGCAGCAGTCATCGGATGCCCCCAACATCGAGAACCAACACCTTATACCACCAGTTGCCTTTCCCTGCTATTCTGTTCCAACTAGGCCATACTGGTAGTTTAAACCACCAGTACCTTTCCCCGCTTGGGATCGGGGGCGGGGCAGTTAACACAGAGGCCCAGTTCGGCCTTCGGCGCCGACCGCATCCATCGGCCGTGCCTGGCGCGCAGCGCCCACGGCCGATATATGAGAAAGGTACTGGCGGTTTAAGCCATAGGGGCCAGCATCATGTTCTGGGGAACTGAATGGAACTGTGAGAATTCCGCTCTGGGCCCGTCGTTTTTGTCCCGAGGGCCATGGCCACCATATTCCGAACTGAGTGGACTGTGCAGCACAGGCCACCTAAGAACAAGGACCGTTCGTGAGCGAGGAGGAGAGAGTAAGACAACTTCCACCACCATAGTCTGCAATTGGGCCTCTGCCAGGCAAGCACTGAGAGAACTGCCTGATATGCAGATTGCACATAAGGCTGAAACCCAGCAAAGAAACAGCCGACCAATCACCCACCGGCCGCTGGACGATGAGTCGGGCCGTGCGGAGAGTCCTGTGGATGCACGGAGGCGGAGCTCCATGCAAGCGACAACAATGCACTGGAGCAGCGATGCACACTGGGCCAACAGGGAGTGACTGGTGGCTTGTGTGGGGACCCTTGGCCCTTGGGTGAATATTACGGCACAAACAGTTAACCGAGCACAAGCCCGACTCCAACAATGCTGCGGAGTGCGGAAGAGGATTTACGAGCTTCCAAGTTCTCAAGCCATCGCTACAGTTTGTGACCAACTCCTTTTGTTACCGGGCAGGAGGTCCCCCCTGTTTGCAAGCAAGCAGGGGGGTTTAACTTTTGCGGGTTTAAACTTACCCCTGTTTGAAGGCATGGGGGGTACACTTTCGCCGGTTAGATTGACTGTCCGACAGGCACAGGTTTTTCCTACTCTCGGCATGGGTTGGTGGTTGGCCCGAGAGCCGATAGCCACCAGTTTTTCCTTCCTTGAAATCCTGTCTGCAGACAGGGGTTGGGCAGACAGCAACAGGCTTTTCGACCTGTCTGCGGACAAGGGGGGTTTGCCCAACAGCAAGAGCTGACCTGGCTTGTCAGGAGGTAGTAGTGGTGGTCCAATAACATGTTAGAGGTACTGCAGTGTGTGTGGTACTGTGTACCAGTATATATATTGTCACACCGTGTATCGGAGCGCAAAGGCGAAAAAAGACAAAACAAAAAAGGAAAGAAGTACGGACGGAAAGCTCTGCCTGTTCATCACCTCTTACGTACAAGGCCGGCCACGTGGAATTATATATCGTCATAGAGAACTGCCCCGTAAACCGTAAGGTAGAGAGGGA